TGAAACCAGTCACCGCTTCTTTTCGAACTGGACAGCTGAATGCGCTCGGAGGAAAGCGCCAACCGCCAGATCTGTTACATCAGCTAACAGACGCCTTTTTGCCACTTGTGTACTGTGTTACAATTTGATACTAAATGAAACAATTGAAATGGTCCAAAATTACTTGGAAAAAAAAGTAATTTCTTCCATTACATGTTAAGAATATTTTTCCTTCTCCTGTAAAGCTACTATTTTGGAGATACAAGTTTGTTTCCAAATAACCACAATATGCTAATGAAGTACTGATTAGCCAGAATGGGTGCTGAATGATAACCACAACACTGGGCTTCCTCAAGCAGAGGTTTGGAAATGGTTAAACAACCACACTGACATTCACAAAGTCACTAAGCGGAAAAAACATATACTTCAGCAATGGTTAGAGTCTGTTTGTGCACGATTGTTTTGTACATATGATTATTATACTGTATAAAATAGTTCATCTTTTCAACACTGTCTCTTTCTTTCATTTGACCTTTTTCTGAGTGGTTGGTGATTCCCATCTACAATGTTTTACAGATGATATTGTGGAAATGCCAAAAGGTTGCCTGCAGTTTGGCTTTAGTTCTGCTCCATGTGCATCTGCCTTCCATAGGGTAAATGAAGCTGAAACTTGAGAGAGAGCCAGACTTGGTTTGCTTCACAGCACCAGGTTACCATGGTTGAATGGTTATTAATGAAATTCTTTAGAGTAGAAATGGATTGTAGATCCGGACCTACTTAAACACAGTAACAAACTAGACAGCTCTACTGCTGTTTACCAATGTAGGTAACAGTGTCACCTGGAGCCGGACGATTGAGGAAACAGAAAAGATTTTCACTTTCTACTGCAGACTGTACTATCCCGCAGGAGCAATATAAACAATTTCATATTACTTTTCTTTTTTACCCACATAATACATTTATGTTTCCATTAATCTAAATGCATTTGTGATTTTTATGGTGTGCATCATTCACTGACTTCCCAAACCGCCTGACTGTGGATTTGGCATAACAAAGTCAGGGTGAGCTCAACCATGTGGCAGTTAAACTGGGTGTTTGTTATTTGTACGCTATCCTTCAAATCTGTAGTTCTGTTCCAGAGATGGTGACTACCTAATGCTCCTGTTAGCAGGACTGTTGTGGATCATGACATACCAGGAGCTGTTTGCTGTGACACAGTCAGTGGTTCTTAACTAGGCTACTGTACCAAAATCGGTATTATCTGTGCCATTAAACTAGTGAAGTGGGTCAGTGAACAGACGTGTCTGGAGGCCAAAGAAGAATGGAAGCAGATGAACGTTTCAAAGAGATTCACTGGGTCAGCATATACAGTGTGGATGTTTTGTCATTCCTGTATATACAGTCACTAAGCACTTCATTAAGTCCACCTATTTGTTTCTACAGTCTTTGTCCACTATTTGTATATGGTCAGCTTCACTGACCATATAGTTTCACTCTGTAGTTCTACAGTTTCAGACTGTAGTCCATCTGTTTCTCTGCATACTTTGTTACCCTGTTAATCAGCGGTCAGGACCACCACAGAGCAGGTATTATTTGGGTGGTGGGTCATTCTCAGCACTGCAGTGACGCTGTTGTGGTGGCGACATGCTAGTGTGGGTTGTGCTGGTGCGAATGGATCAGCTCTGTGGTGGTCCTGTAGGGGTCCTTTACGGTCTGTAATTGTAGAACTGCAAAGTGCACCTATATCATCAGTGGATCTGATGAAATGGACAAAGAATGTAGAAACAAGGAAGTGTACTCAATAAAGTGCTCAGTGATACGCTCTTTACTCATGAGCAAAATATTGGTATTGCATTTGTATCGTCTTGTCTTGTATGGATTAATCGTCGGAAAATCTGCCATGTTCTTGGTACTACGGTTGCATGCAACCCCGCATCATTCAGGCAGTCAACAAAACACTCCATTAAAAGGTAAAATAATAAGGCACAAAAAGCTGCTCCATGGTATAATGATCATACTCGAGCTTTAAAACAGACTGTCAGACAACTAGAGCGAAAATGGCGCCTGACTAAACTAGAAGTGTTCCAGTCTGCCTGGAGTGATTATAACCTTAGAGATTATAGAAGAGCACTTACTGCAGCTCTCTCAGCCTATCTCTCCTCTCTCTGATAGAAAACTATAAAAAATTATTCTAGATTATTATTATTATTTAGCACAATTTCTAAAATAACTAAGAACCAAACAGTCACTGAACACCAGATGTCTTCAGCCTACAGCATTAATGATTTTATGAATTTCTTCAGTAATAAAATAAAAAAATAAAAATAAAAACTAGGCAGAAAATTCAGAAGTTTACAGTTATAAAAGTTATATTCCTGGTTAGAAATTATACAGTTAAACTCTACAAACCTGCTGCCTTATAATGCCAGTCTAGATCTTGAGAATATTCTAAATACTGCAGAGAGGCTGGAATCGTTCACCTTACTTCAACAAAATGAACTAGTTAATATTGTTTCCTCATCAAAATCTTCTACTTGTATATTAGATCTGATTCCTACAGGTTTACTCAAATAAATTTTGCCAGAAATAACCAAACCTATTCTGTCAATAATAAACTCCACTCTTAGCCTTGGATATAACCCAAAAACTCTTAAACTAGCAGTAATTAGACTCTAATTAAGAAAGCTAACCTCGATCCCTGCAAACAAATTATAGACCTATCATGAATCTCCCCTTTATATCAAAGATCTTGTGGCCACAAAATAAGTTGCGGCAAAACAAATAAGTTCCTATTTGCATAGGAATCATATACATGAAATATTTCAGTCTCGTTTTAGGCCACATCATAGTACAGAGACAGCAAACAATCTCTTATTATTCTCTGACCATAGAAATGTGTCTTTGCTAGTCCTCCTTGAACTTAGTGCGGCATTTGACACGATAGACCACTCTATCTTAACAGGAACAGGAATAGCTCTTTCCTTTACCTCATTGATCGCTATCAGTTTGTAAATGTAAATGGTGAATCATCTGTTCTTGCAAAACTAAAGTTTGGTTTTCCACAAGGCTCTGTTTTAGGACCTATATTATTCACCTTATATATATATATATATATAACCATTTTCAGAGCACAGCATCAATTTCACACAGTTTTATATATATATATATATATATATATATATATATATATATATATATATATAATGTGCGTGTGTGTGTGTGTGTGTGTGTGTATTATATACACTATATTGACAGAAGTATTCACTCACCCATCCAAATTATTCAATTCAGGTGTTACAATCACTTCCATGGCCACAACCTACGCAACAAGTCCAGTCGTTAAATTTCCTCGCTACTAAATATTCCACAGTCAACTGTCAGTGGTATTATAACAAAGTGTAAGCGATTGGGAACGACAGCATCTCAGCCACGAAGTGGTAGGCCACATAAAATGACAGCGCGGGGTCAGCGGATCACACTTCTCCGTCTGGCAATCTGATGGATGAGTCTGGGTTTGGTGGTTGCCACGAGAACGATACTTGTCTGACTGCATTGTGCCAAGTTTAAAGTTTGGTGGAGGGGGGATTATGGTGTGGGGTTGCTTTTTAGCAGTTGGGCTCGGCCCCTTAGTTCCAGTGAAAGGAACTCTTAATGCTTCAGCAGAGATTTTGGACAATTTCATGCTCCCAACTTTGTGGGATGGCCCCTTCCTGTTCCAACACGACTACGCACCAGTGCACAAAGCAAGGTCCATAAAGACATGGATGAGCGAGTTTGGTGTGGAAGAACTTGACTGGCCTGCACAGAGTCCTGAGCTTAACCTGATAGAACACCTTTGGGATGAATTAGAACATAGTCTGCAAGCCAGGCCTTCTTGTCCAACATCAACATCTGACTTCACAAATGCGCTTCTGGAAGAATGGTCAAAAATTCCCATAAACACTCCTAAACATTGTGGAAAGCCTTCCAAGAACAGTTGAAGCTGTTATAGCTGCAAAGGGTGTGCTGACATTATATTAAAGCCTATAGATTAAAAATGGGATGTCACAAGTTTATATGCGTGTGAAGGCAGACGAGCGAATACTTTTGGCAATATAGTGTATATATACACAGTATCTCACAAAGGTGAGTACACTCCTCACATTTCTGCAAATATTCTATTTTTTCACAGGACAACACTACAGAAATGAAATTTGGATGTAACCTAAAGTAGTCAGTGTACAGCTCTATAGCAGTATATATTTACTGTCCTCTGAAAATAACTCAACACACAGCCATTAATGTCTAAATAGCTGGCAACACAAGTGAGTACACCTCACAGTGAACATGTCCAAATTGTGCCCAATTGTGTCGTTGTCCCTTCCTGGTGTCATGTGACTCGTTAGAGTTACAAGTTTCCAGGTGTGAATGGGGAGCAGGGCTGTTAAATTTTTTGTTTTGGGTACAATTCGCTCATACTGGCCACAAGATATTCAACAGGGCACATCATGGCAAAGAACTCTCTGAGTATGTGAGAAATAGAATTGCTGCTCTCCACAAAGATTGCCTAGGCTATAAGAATATTGCTAACACCCTGAAACTGAGCTAAAGCACGGTGGCCAAGGTCATACAGTGATTTTCCTGAACAGGTTCCACTCTAAACAGGCCTCGTCTAGAACACACTTACACAAACACAAAAAGAGCAGAGTATCCCGTCTTTAGAATGTGTGCAGTTCTTTGCTGGAAAGTCTTTCTCTTAGAACCAGTTAAGCCAGTTTATGGGTGAAAGGTCAGTATAAATGAAATGAAAACATATGGTCAGAACTTTAACTGGAGATTAAAAATGTGGACCCCTAACTGACCTCCCTCCAAATAATGATAATTTATTATTCACAGCATTGCTGTTGAAGGACAATCATTGAGATCTGCAGCAGATTGTAGTTTCAGATCCTCTGGTGATGCAATGAGACTGAAATGAGCTCCAACTGGTTTCTCTGGTTCTAAAGAAAACAGTTCAGCCGTATTCTGGTTCTAGACTGAGACAGAGACAGTTCAGCTCTGTAATGTTCTAAAGGCTCCAGTGGGAGAAGATACTCTACTGAAATGGAGATGAAGTGTCTGTGTTGGTGGTCAATGATGTTTCTCTTGTAGATCTGCTGTAAATGAACACAGATGAAGGTGGACTTGGACTTTCTCAATGAAGAAATCTAGACAAACCTCAGAAAAGGTAACTGCTTTCAGTTCCTCACAGATATCACTGAGGAGTCCTCTGATCTGCATTAATAACAACCTTTATTATAATAACACCTTTAAACTTAGCAGCTCTCAGAGAAATTATACACAAGAATATTCAGAAAACAATAAGAATACACTGATTTAAAAGTATCAATAAAACTAGGAAAAATACAAAATCAAAAGTAATTAAAACTTAGAAATAAAGGAGCAATATTAATAAAAATTAGAATATGTCCAAAATAAAATAAGAATATGTGCAAATTAAGAAACTTAAAGACATATAAAGGGTCTTAATAAAAATCTAGTGTAAATAAGGTTTTAATTTTGAGACAATTTATTTAAAATTAGAGTGAATAAATAAGGGTAAGGGATTGATCTGGGGATCGATCCACCAGAGAGCTGCTCCTTATCAGGGGAGATCCTGTCCACCTGTGGGACGGCCTATTCAAGAGTGAAGCTCAGTTTCAGCCTCGATCAGTCTTTGAAGTTCCTACAAACGACTCGGCTGGTAACTCGGGTAGAGACAAGGGGTTTTCCTCTTGCATCTCTTTTCACTCTCTAGCAACTCAAAATCTTTCCTGTATCTTCTTGAGTTGCTACTCCTTACTACTTAAAAAAAAAAAAAAACTATTAAAGGAAGTGTTCTGACACGCTCTTGTTGTCTTTTGTGAAGTGTGAGACTAAAGAAGTCTTTTGGTTTAGGGGTCTTAAACAACGCCGGAGACCCCTTGTTTCTGTGGGCTTATTGTTTAAAGGACGCTCCTGTTGAGCTTATTCCACCTCCTTTGCAGTGGTGCAGCGGTAGCGGATTCGATCCCCACCTCGGACGAGCTTGTTAACTATCCTCGTTAAATATTTCTCTGTCTAATTGGTTCTGCATTAGGGCTCTCTTTGAGCCTGTGTTGGTGACGCACTCTTTGAATTTCCCTCTGAGTTTGTCACCCATTACAATAATGATTTAATAGGATTGTTGATTAAAATGATTATCATCATTAATGATTATCAGGATTATAGAGGTGATTAGTTCTACTGTCTGTTTATACTGAGATTCTATCAGTAAATACAATTTATTAATAATTAACTGAGTTAATCTGAGTAACTACACTGAGTAAATCTCTATTTTTATGAAATAGAGTCCTTGAGTAAATGAAGCAACTGTGATTTTAGTGTGAGGGAGAGTCAGAATTTAGAGTTTGTACATGAAAGAGGGATCAGGGAATGTCTTACTGACGTTCAACATGTTCAAGATTCATCAACAGTAAAGTTTTCACAGATGAAATGTAATGACCTCAACAGAGGTGAATCATGTGTAAAGAAGTACTGAAGACAGTGGATCATACAGAGGGCAATCACTTTTGGAACAATCTGCACACTTGCACTTGTGTGTGAAACAGAAGAACAGTGAGTCGTCATTACTCACCAGTGGACTTTCACAAGTTGACTTTCCAGTTTTCACTCAGAGCAGACTGTTTGGATTTGCTCGTCTCCTAATCACACCAGTTCAGACAGGTAGCTCAGGAGAGAGCTGTGATTGGTCCAGTTAAACATTACTCCACCCTCTTCACCCTGTAAAAGACTTTCCAGAACTTCCTTCACAGAAAAACAGAATTTACTTTCTGACTTGATGAATAAAGACATTTCAGACACAGAGAGAGCAGAACATCACTGTGGAACTCAGAAACAGAACTATATTTCAGATGAAGTTAACATGTAGACTTCACTACTTCTGTGTGTGTGTTTACAGGATTAGGTCTAATCTGAAGGAGGAGTCATGACCTCCAAAATGAACTTCTCTGAGGAGCAGCACTCACAGAAAGCTGAGAGGTGAGAGAATCATGGGATTTGGTGTAAAGACTGTATGTTCTCATCTACACCAACATGCAGGAACGTTTGTGGATCATGACTGATATTGGGTGTGTTCTAGACTGGTTCAGGGTCAGAGATCTGACTCACCTGAACCCAGCTGTGTGTCCATGAAGAGTGACCAGTCAATGGACAAAGATGGACAGTTCAGAAAGTATACCAGTTCTATTAAGATCAGGTAAGAATGATGTGAAACTGAATAATGGGATGCTTTTTCTCTGAACTCCAGTGTTTTTGAAGATTAAATGGATAAGGGGGGGATTGTAGTTTCTGAGAGAGGACAAAATAAACAAGGAAAGCACAGAAAACTGTTTTACTGCATGCAGCTCTTCATTCTGCGATGTAATTCTGCATCTAGAATAAGAGTGTTTACATAATATATCAGTGGATCTCAAACTGTAGTACACATTCTCCCAGGGGTTCTCCAAAAAAAAAAAATCTGACATTAGACATTTACAACTCCTGATCAGCAGATCCTCATTGAAACTGCTACAAGGTAATCTGAGTTTAATCTAATACCAGTGGCAGATTTCTGGTGTGAAGTGAGTGGGAATAACATCCAGCTCATGATAAACCTGCTGTAATAGTGAGGCAATTAACTCTTTATTCATTATTATTTGTATAAAGGCTATGTTGGAGAAGGTGTTTCACTCATGTTCCTTCTGCGCATCACATGTTCTGGATACACTAACTTGGTCGACTCATTACTTCATTTTGTGCTGTTGGTGTGAATGAAGTGAGTGTTTCACAGATGTGGTTCACTTTGCTGGTTGTAGTGACTTATACGTTATAGGTTTGTACCCTGCTGTGATTAGCACGTAGCCACTAGCATGTTGGTCATATATTTGTAGTGCTGCTTTGTGTTATAGCAGTTTTAAAACTAAAAGGATGATGTTACAGTGCTGTATATGATCTGAGGCTCTTGTTATTATTCTCTGTTCATTTTGCAGCTTTAGACTCTCACATGCATGACTGTCATATTGATCACTGTCTGTGCAGCTGATTTTAGATTACTGATGAAGAAATTCACTCCTGAGCAAAACTCCAGAGTGAACCACACTTTTAATACAGGCCTAACAGGCCTCCCTCTGTAACTGGGTCCTTGATTTCCTGACTCAGAGACCTCAGTTAGTCAGGATAGGTAATAACTTCTCCAGCACCACCATACTGAGCACCGGTGCTACTCAGGGCTGTGTGCTTAGTCCACTGCTGTTTACTCTGCTGACTCATGACTGTACGGCAAAGTACAGCTCAAACCACATCATCAAGTTCGCTGATGACACGACTGTGGTGGGTCTGATCAGCAAGAATCATGAGTCAGCATACAGAGAGGAGGTGCAGCAGCTAACAGACTGGTGCAGAACCAACAACCTGTCTCTGAATGTAGACAAAACTAAGGAGATGGTTGTTGACTTCTGAGGAGTGCAAGGTGACCACCCCCCACTTGGCTATGGAGTTGGTGTTGAGGGACAAGGTGAGGTTCTCTGTGATGTGGACAGTGATGTGGAGTGATTTACTGGCCCTGCTGTGGAAATCGTCAGGAGCACCAAGTTCCTCGGTGACCACATCACAGAGAACCTCACCTGGTCCCTCAACACCAACTCCATAGCCAAGAGAGCCCAGCAGCGCCTCTACTTCCTGTGGAGACGGAAGAAAGCTCATCAGCGCATAGTGAGGACAGCTGAGAGGATCATCGGGGTCTCTCTCCCCTCCATCATGGACAACTACACCACACGCTGCATCCGCAAAGCCACCAGCATTGTGAACAACCCCATCCATCCCTCACACAGACTTTTCTCACTGGCAGAAGGTACTGGAGCATCTGTGCCATCACTGCCAGACTCTGCAACAGCTTTGTTCTACAAGCAATCAGGTTTTTGAACTCACAAGGACTGATCTGAAAGTCCCCCTCACACGCACACGCACACACACACACACACACACACACACACTGTACACTCACACAAACACACACACACTCACACATACTCTACAGTCACACACACACACATACACTAACACATACTCTGCACTCACACACACACCTCCTTTGATGCTCTTTTGCATCTGGAACTTGCTGCTAATACTGTGTTTCCACGTTTGTTTACTCAAGTACCATGTATATGCTACCTCAGGAACTGCTGTGCTCATGTATTCACAGATCACAGCATTTTAAATAATCTTTGCACTTTTTTTCCATTGTATTGTTTCTGCACGTTGCACTTTGTACTGCTTATTCTGTTTCATGTTGCACCGTGTTGTTCCTTGGAGGAATGTAATTTCACTCCACTGTGTACTTGTACATAGATGGAATGACAATAAAAGTCTCTTGACTTGACTTGACAGTATTTATTCAGTTTCAGTATACCACTGCTGTTGGCAAAAACCTTATTTCTCTGTTTTTTGTTGTTTTTCATTTGACATCATTTGAAATCACCAGCTGCTCTTTACAGTGTGTCAGAATTTCATGATGAATGGACCAATAGAAATGGTACAGAATTATTGGAAAAAGTAATTTCTCCATTAATTTCCCTTAACATCCATTAACTGTAAACGTGTTTGGACAGTGACGTGATTTGATGAGTCATCATATGATAAACATTTGTAATGTTTTAAGGTGGGCTGACTGCACAAGGCTAAATGTTTTACATATTGAACTTGGCGATATGCACATGAGTGTATTTGTCTGGAGTGAGGGGGGCATCACAGCAGGAGGTTTAATGTCAGAGGGGATAAAGGATTGTTAAAGGTTTGGGATCCACTCTATTGTCCATCATATGTATATAGAATTATAGGGGGGTTTATTAGAATTCACCTGTTTAAAAAAACAACTTTAATATTCCACAATTTATTTTTTGCATGTATGATTATAACAACATTTACTTTCGTTGGTATGTTTTAGACTTATTCAGAGAAAGAGACCAGACTCACCTGAACCTAGCTGTGTGTCTATGAAGAGCGAATGGTCAATGGACTGTCCAATAAAATTCAGAGAGGAGGACAGTTCTACTGAGCTGAGGTAAAGACAGTTTATACGTTGTTATATGAGCTTTCACATTCAGCTCACCTATCTGTAACTCAGTTTGTGCTCTGTTTGAGCTGCTTATGTAGATGCTAACAGAATCTGTGAGGAAACAGATGACAAACAATCCTGCTTACATGTGTAGAGCTCTGGTTGCACAGCTGATCCATCAGCTTGGTTGTAACAACAGTGATTTGTCAGTAAGTTCTGCTGAAAATTCACAAAAATAAAAAAATCTTGTGCAAAATATTGTCACACATGCTCAAATTAATGTACTGTTAATTAATTTCCTGTCTTCTGAATGCATTGTGCTTGGTGTGTAAAGACCTTTACTTGCCTAAACAGTGATCTGATCACAGCTGGTGAAGTATGAGCAAAGATATACTGATTTATGTGAAGTTCATTTGTCATGTTCTACATGGACAAAACAACTACTGTCTCACATAAGAAATGAGCCCGTAGCACGGCATGCACTAAGCCAGGCTCAAGGAGGATGCAGGAGGCAGGAGAAGCATTTGCAGCAGCCGTGTCATCTTTATTTGTAAGCAAAAACAACCAAACAAACCTAGATAAACTGGCCACTTTTCATTAGCTTTAAGCTACAGACTTTTCAGTCCTTCTCCCCTGCTTTACACTGTCCCTGCTGTTGCTGCTCTTCTCTCTCTCTCTCTCTCTGCACTTGAGCTGAGAGGGAACGAGAGCTCATGTTTCGCCTCCCCGTCACTGCACCGCAGCTCATCTGCCCAGATCAAACGTGAGGTGTAGTGAAGTGGCCTTGCTACAGAACAGGGGGCGGGGCCTAAGCCGCAGAGTTCATCACTCGCCTCCCGCTTTTGTGCCTCTCGTTGCGGTCATCATCCCCTCTCTCATGGTTGACGTCCTCCCCCCACCTGTCTCTTAGAGATTGGGCCCCACCTTCCTGCCGGCTCTCGCAGCCGTCATCGGGTCTGGGGTGCGGGCACATTCCATAGAGCCAAAACAACAGATCATCACTCATCATATTTGAAAAGTGTTGGGCTGTAAGTCAAAATTTATTTATATAGCGCCTTTTACAACAGATGTTGTCACAAAGCAGCTTTACAAAGAATCCGGGTCCACGCCCCCAGTGAGCAAGCCTCGGCGACAGTGGCAAGGAAAAACTCCCTCAACAGGAGGAAGAAACCTTGAGAGGAACCAGACTCAAAAGGGGAACCCATCCTCCTCTGGTCGACACCGGATAAGAGGACAGACACAAAACAGTATAAGTGGATAGAGTTTAACACCACTGTGCAGTGCACCGGCCGCATCTCAGGTCACACCCTCTTAGGACAGGCAGCCGCTCAGCTCAGGGAAAGAGAGGGGGAGGGGGAAGGGGGGGTAGGGAGGGGGGATGAGAGGGACATAGTTAGGAAAACAAGTTAACCAAAGGCTCGACTAAACAGGTAAGTTTTTAGCCTAGACTTAAAGATGGAGGCTGTGTCTGAGTCCCGAACACAGACTGGTAGGTTATTCCAAAGCTGGGGGGCTTTGTATGAAAAGGCTCTTCCCCCTGACGTAACTTTATTTATTCTGGGTACTAATAATGAGCAGCACCTTGTGATCTAAGTGGGCATATCGGTTGATAATAGGAAATAAGCTCACTGAGGTACTGAGGAGCAAGGCCATTCAAAGCTTTATACGTCAGCAGAAGAATCTTGTACTCAGTGCGGAATTTAACTGGCGACCAATGTAAGGTATACAAAATTGGGCTAATGTGGTTGAATTTCCTGGTTTTGCTGAGAACTCTGGCTGCAGTGTTCTGGACTAACTGAAGCTTGTTAAGGTTTTGGCTGGAACAGCCAGAAAGCAGAGCGTTACAGTAATCTAACCTGGACGTGATGAAGGCGTGAACTAACATTTCTGCATCCTGTAGCAACAGTGCATTTCTTAATTTAGCGATGTTACGCAGGTGGAGGAAAGCTATTCTGGTAATATTGGTAATATGCTCATCGAAGGCCAGACTGGGATCAATTGTGACACCAAGACTTTTTACAGATGTGCCTGGTGCAATTGAGAAACTATCGAGATTAAGAGTAAACGTAGGCAGATTATCCCTAGCAGCTTTTGGACCAAGAAGAAGGACTTCGGTTTTGTCCGAATTTAGTAAAAGGAAGTTGCTTGACATCCAGTCTTTAATGTCTTTTACACAGTCCTCTATCTTATTAAGTTCAGTTTTGTCCTCTGGTTTAGCTGAAATATACAATTGTGTATCATCGGCATAGCAGTGGAAACTGATGCCATGTTTTCTAATGATGGTACCTAGTGGTAGCATATATAAGGTAAATAACACGGGTCCTAAGACAGAGCCCTGTGGAACACCATACTTTACTCTTGTGAGAGCTGATGGTTCACCATTTACATTAACAAACTCAAAGCGATCACTAAGGTAAGATTTGAACCACGAAAGAGCTTTACCTGTCACTCCTACTAGTTTCTCAAGCCTGTCTAATAGAATGGAATGGTCTATTGTGTCAAAAGCTGCACTAAGATTGAGTAAAACCAGTAAGGATATGTTTCCTTTGTCAGCGGATAATAAAAGATCATTTACAATTTTCACTAATGCTGTTTCGGTACTATGGTGAGGCGTGAAGCCGGACTGAAATTTTTCATATATATTACTCCTATGCAGATGGGAACATAATTGTTTTGCCACTGCTTTCTCTAAAATTTTTGATAAAAAGGGAAGATTTGAAATAGGTCTATAGTTTGATGGCTCAGAGGGGTCAAGACTAGGTTTCTTTATTAAGGGTTTAATTACACCTAATTTAAGAGATTTTGGAACATACCCGAGGCTGAGAGAAGAGTTTATTATAATTAGAAAGGGCTTAGTTATTTCTGGCAAAACATCTTTAAGTAAACCTGTAGGAATAGGATCTAGTATACAAGTTGTTGTTTTTGAAGATGAAATAATTTGGACGAGCTCTGTTTGCTGGAGTAAAGTAAAAGACTCCAGCGTCTCTGTAGTGGTTATACTGCACTCTAGATCTAGATTAGGTTTATAGGACACTGCATTGCAATGCTGCGCATTTTGAATTTTGTGCCTAAGTAAGTAAGTAAGTAAAGTTTATTTATATAGCGCTTTTTACAACAGGTGTTGTCACAAAGCAGCTTTACAAGGAAATCAGCATTACAGAAAGAAATCCGGGTCCAAGCCCCCATGAGCAAGCCAGTGGCGACAGTGGCAAGGAAAAACTCCCTAGGAACAGGAAGAAACCTTAAGAGGAACCAAGACTCAGAAGGGGAAACCATCCTCCTCTGGTCGACACCGGATAGTAAACATTGTTAGTACAAAAACAGGTGGAGCAATGATTAATTTGATTAGTTTAGTTCATGCAGCAGCAGCGGCGGCAGCATCAGCATCAGTGGGGTCAGGTTGTGAGGGTGAGGTTTGCATGGCGTAGTACAGCATGGAGCTTGATGGTGGTCAAGCCGGTCCAGAGGGCTGGCGAGCAGTGGCACCCGATCAAGGCAGAAGAGGCAGCAGCATCAGACGCACAGGATGGGCAGCTGTTCAACTCGGCAAAGGAAATGAAAGAAAGGAAAAACACACAGAGAGTCAGTTCTGTAATGGGTGATTGATGAATTTGATTAGTTTAAATGATTGATTAGTTCAAATGATTAATTTGATAAGTTTAGTTTATGCAACAGCAGCATCGGTGGGGTCGGGATTGTGAGGGTGAGGTTTGCATGGCGGTGTACAGGAAGAAGCCAGCACCTTGTGATCTAAGTAGACATGATGGTTCACAGTGAGGGAGAAGTTCACTCAAGTACTGAGGGGCGAGTTCGTTTAGAGCTTTATAAGTCAGTAAGAGAATTTTATAATCAATGCGAAATTTAACCGGTAACCAGTGTAAGGTTGATAAAACTGGGCTGATATGGTCGAACTTTCGGGTTCTAGTAAGAACTCTGGCTGCAGCGTTCTGGACTAGCTGAAGCTTGTCAAGGCTTTTGCTGGGACATCCAGACAGCAGGGCATTACAGTAATCTACAGTAAAGCCTTGAAGTAATAAATGCATGAACTAACTTTTCTGCATCCTGTAGAGGCATTTCTCAATTTAGCAACATTGCGGAGATGCAGGAAGGCTGTTCTAGTAATATTATTTATGTGTGCGTCAAAGGACAGATCAGGATCTATTATGACACCAAGGCTTTTTACAGATAAGCTTGATGCAACTGAGTAATTGTTAAGTTTAAGTGTTAAATTAGACATTCTATTTCTAGCCGCTTTTGGACCAAGAAGTAGAACCTCTGTTTTATCAGATTTAAGAAGGAGAAAGTTACTCCACATCCAGTCTTTTACGTCTTGTATACAGTCTTCAATCTTGCTAAGTTTAATTTTATCATCCGGTTTGCTTGCTAAGTATAACTGTCATCTACATAACAGTGGAAATTTATGCCGTGTTTACTAATAATGGAGCCCAGTGGTAGCATATATAATGTGAATCTGTAACATTCTGATCACCGTAGAGTCTGATTGTAGAAAAATATTAGTTTCTGAGTTTGGAGTGAAACTTACTTAAAATGCATTAACAATGATACATTTACTCCTCAACCCCAACTTACAGATAATACTACATCAAAGGGACTTTTACTTTTATCACAGAGCACAACCTGACTCTCTCTCTCTCTCTCTCTCTCTCTCTCTCTCTCTCTCCCTCTCTCTCCCTTCACAGAAAGATGTGTAAGCGTGCACTAGCAGAGTGTACCGTGATCAGTCTCAGCACTTTTTTTCTCACATAATATCACGTTTTGCTTTATTTTTGTTTGTACAGATTATTTCTAAATTGTGAAGCGGAAAATGAAAAAGTAACTCAATTACTCAAGTAATTTAACAATAAACTACTTATTCCCTCATACTTCAGTAATTTCTTTTATTAACGTTTTTACTTGTACTGACATAAATGATCACTACAGTAACAGTACTCTTCATCTTTAAGTAAATATTTTCAGTACTCTTTCCATTCCTGTACATAAATACACACATTTCTTTATGAGCAATGAGGGAATAATATGTGAATACTGTAGACACTAATAAAAGTCAGACTAATTATGCCTTTACCTGGAGTGTATATCATCATCTCACTGTAAGTCTGCTCAACTCTATATAAAATATTATGGTTAAAAATCTGATTCCCTATGGCGATTATCATTGGGATGTTACAACAGCATTGAATAATGCGGAATATTTAACTAAATTACAGCTCTTGTGATCTAAAATTCTGCACTTGTTCAAATTGCAAACATGATCAGTCATTCAGTCATACATGGCAATATGTGATATTTGTGTTCAACCTTCAATTTCTTTTTTAAATTAAAATTAATCATTATAAAATCATTTAATTATATACTCAGTTAAAAAATTCTATGTGATTACATTAAAAAAAATCGATTTACAGTCTGCAGGCAGAAGTGCCACTAGGAGACCAGCAGTAAGGAGTTAAACTCATCAAATAAACAGAAAATGTGCACTCAAATGTCCAGAAAAAATGCCATAATTGTGTGTTGTCCATCAGGATATTGTGATATTTTATTTTCACTGAGAAAGCCTATAAAACATGTAATTTAAGTGGTACAGACTTCTGCATACAACTATAAGTGTCTGAGGAAATACAGGACATTAATATTCTGTAATACATTAAAGCCTCTTTATTGTGCCATTCAGGTTGTTCACAATATGCTACTGATAATTTTATGTTTTCTAACAGAGTCCAGAAAGAGAATTTAGATATTGCAAGGAGAAACATGGAGACCATATTCAAGGTGTGTGTTTGTGTGTGTGTGTGAGAGAGAGAGAGAGAGAGAGAGAGAGAGAGAGAGAGAGACTAATGTAATACGCAGTTTAACTTGTGCTAAAGAGCAGTAATTGTGGGTTCTTTCTTATATGACACATTATAAATGAATTTCTCAATATAAACGGGACTCTTTATTCATTAGATCCTCCCACCTACACAATCCCCAATGTTTATTTTCCTAACATGAAGGTGTCTAAGGTTTCATTTTGATTTATTCTCCAAAATATGTAGTGTAATGTCACATTTTTAAAAATGTAGTAAATAAGGAAATGCAGTAAATAATATCTTGAGAAAAAACTACAAATAAGTGTAACTGTAGCCATAATGATTTCTACTAAAAAATAAAATAATAATAATAATGATGCAGACCCTTTCACACTGCTAAGAGGGCCCCTATTTCTTTGATCCCCTTAATCAGGAGCTGGAGCACAAAGTCATCTCTCTGGTGAAGACTCAGCTGAAGTGGTTTGTGAAGCTGCTGAGTCTGGATTACCCAGCATGCTCTGAGAGAGAGGTGGAGGATGAGGAGGATCAGAGCAGTGTCAGAGAGGGGGCGCTGAAGATCACACTGACCATCCTGAGGAACATGAATCAGACTGACCTCGCTAACACACTACAGAGCAGTAAGACATCAGGGTCATGTGATACTCATCATATGAATTAATATCAAGAGTTTAAATTATCATGACAATGTAATATTAGTAATACTCATCACAGAACTATTAGGTTTAATTAGGTTACCAGTCTTTTTGTGATGTCACTGTAGTGTGTGATTTTTTTTTGTGGCAGTGCTGAAACTAAATGTTAATATTTAACATCCGGTGTTATTGTTTTAATCAGAACTGTCTCCTTGTCACAAAAAGCTGAAATTGACATTGAAGGAAAAATTTCAGAAAATTAATGAAGGAATCTCAAAATCTGGAACCTCAACCCTACTGAATGAGATCTACACAGAACTCTATGTCACAGAGGGAGGGAGTGGAGAGGTCAATAATGAACATGAGGTCAGGCAGATTGAAACAGCATCCAGGAGACCAGCAACAGAGGAGAAACCCATCAAATGTAATGACCTCTTTAATGACAAACCCATCAGAACTGTGCTGACTAAAGGAGTCGCTGGAATTGGAAAAACAGTCTCTGTGCAGAAGTTCATTCTTGACTGGGCTGAAGGAAAAACAAATCAGGACATCCTCTTCATATTTCCACTTCCTTTTAGAGAGCTGAATCTGATGAAGGAGAAAAAACTCAGTCTGGTGGAGCTCCTTCACCAATTTTTCAGAGACATAGAAGAATTAAAACCAAGAGACTATCATCACTACAAAGTCATGTTCATCTTTGATGGTCTGGATGAGTGTCGACTTCCTCTAGATTTCCAGAACAATGAGAGCGTATCTGATGTAACAGATTCAGCCTCAGTGGATGTGCTGCTGACAAACCTTATCAAGGGAAATCTGCTTCCCTCTGCTCTCTTCTGGATAACCTCTCGACCAGCAGCAGCCAACCAGATCCCTCCTGAGTGTGTTGACCTGGTAACAGAGGTACGAGGGTTCAGTGACCCTCAGAAAGAGGAGTACTTCAGGAAGAGAATCAGTGACCAGAACTTGGCCAATAAAATCATCTCACACATGAAGTCCTCAAGAAGCCTCTACATCATGTGCCACATCCCAGTCTTTTGTTGGATTGCAGCCACTGTTCTAGAGAGAGTGTTGGGTGAAGCAGAGAGTGGAGAGATCCCCAAGACTCTGACTCAAATGTTCACACACTTTCTGATCTTTCAGATCAAACACAAGGACCAAAAGTACCATGGGAAATATGACACTGATCTTCAGCAGACTAGAGAGATGATTCGGGCACTGGGAAAACTGGCTTTCCAACAGCTAGAAAAGGGTAATCTGATCTTCTATGAGGAAGACCTGAGAGAGTGTGGCATTGATGTCAGAGAAGTGTCAGTGTACTCGGGAGTTTGTACCCAGATCTTCAGAGAGGAGTTTGGGCTGCACCTGGGGAAGGTGTTCAGCTTTGTGCACCTGAGTGTTCAGGAGTTTCTGGCTGCTTTATATGCATTTCTCTCCTTCATCAGCAGAGATGAACCAAAACAACTGAACACTGATCTCTCTGGTATTTTAAAAGAATCCAAAATGTCAGACGTCCTCACATCTGCAGTGAACAAGGCCTTACAGAGTGAGAATGGACACCTGGACCTTTTCCTCCGTTTCCTTCTGGGCCTCTCACTGGAGTCCAATCAGAATCTCTTACGAGGCCTAGTGACACAGACAGGAAGCAGCTCTCAGAGCAAAGAGGAAACAGTCCAGTACATCAAGGAGAAGATCAGGGAGAATCAATCTTCAGAGAAAACAATCAGTCTGTTCCACTGTCTGAATGAACTGAATGATCATTCTTTAGTGGAGGAAGTCCAGTCATACCTGAACAGAGAAGGGTCCAGTGGTCTTAGTGGAGCTAAACTCTCTCCTGCTCAGTGGTCAGCTGTGGCATTTGTGATGCTGAATTCAGAAGAAGATCTGGATGAGTTTGATCTGAGGAAATATGATCCATCAGAGGAGTGTCTTTTGAGGCTGCTGCCAGTGGTCAAAGCGTCCAGAAAAGCTGTGTGAGTATTTGTGTTCATGTTTGTTGTACTGCAATGTTTTTCCATGGAAATAAGGGATTAATACATTCTACTTTTAAATATGTTAATAAATCTTCTCTTTACATGACATTTTCCTGTTACTGTGATTTAATAAAAACAAAGCTACCTCTTTGTTTCTTTGCTATCTGATCCAATCTAAATGATCTGTCATGGTCTCCTGGGTCTAGGCTCCACATTTTACTGTTTACACCACCCTCTTGTCTCCTTATCACCTTAGATATGTGTTTAGAATTCAATGTTTGCTTAATTTAATAATGTTTAATTTAATGTAATCTGTAATTACATTGCTAATATTTATACATGATTTCAATTTTCAAATCTATTGCACACAATGCATATATTATAGATTGAAATGACTAAACACATTTTGTGACTCCATATTACTCTGAAGTCAGCTCCAGTGTTCTTACTCACATTAAGCATTCTGCACATATCACACCAACAGTCCATCAGCAAAATTATGAATTAAATATTTTTTTTAAATGAACAGTAACTGTAAAAGAAGTTTGAGGGTGAGAAAGAAATACCTGGCTATAACTATCTGGCTGAAAATGTACTTATTTACACATAACACATAAATTAACACATAGAGGGTAACATAATTTCATTCTAATTCCCCTTATTTAAACTGTACTGTGCACTCTATTTACTTTGTCTTTACAGACTAGCCAGCTGTAATCTCACCACAAGATCTTGTGAAAAACTATCATCAGTTCTATCACCAAACTGTTCCCTGAAAGAGCTGGACCTCAGTAACAATGACTTAAAAGAAACAGGAGTTGAGCTGCTCTCTGCTGGACTGAGGAATTCACACTGTAACCTGGAAACACTCAAGTGAGATATCTGTAAATTAAATCTTTAGTAACAAGCTTTAGCTCTTATACACTATATGGTCAAAAGTTTTGGGACAAATATCCTAATCATTGAATTCAGGTGTTTCATTCAGTCCTATTGCCTTATAGTCATGCAGTCTGCCTTTCACACACATTGGTAAAAGGCTCATTTTAAAGAGTTCATTGAATTCTGGCACTATTGAAACAAGTCATCTCACGAAATTTTCTCCCTCCTAGATATCTCACAATTGACTGTAAGTGGTATTATTGAAAAGTTGCCATTGCTCTGCTCTATCAATAACTGCGTGAGTTCCAAACCTCCTCTAGTATTAACATCAGTACAAAAACTGTCTACCAGGAGCTTCATGGCAGGATTACCTTGGCCAAGCAGCTGCATGCAAGTCTTACATCACCAAGCACAATGTAAAGTGCCTCCACTGGACTGTGGAGCAGTGGAAACATATTCCGTGGAGTGATGAATCACGCTTCACTATCTGGCAATCTGATGGATGAGTCTGTGTTTGGCGAATGCCAGGAGAACGTTACCTGCCTGACTGCACTGGGCCAGCAGTAAAGTTTGGTGGGGGAGGGATAATGATATGGGGCTGTTTTTCAGGGGTTGGCCTAGAACTCTTAGTTCCAGTGAAGGCAAATCTTAATACTTCAGCAGACCAAGATGTTTTGGCCAATTCTACGCTTCCAACTTTGTGGAACAGTTTGAGAAAGAGCCTTTCCTGTTCCAGCATGACTGAGCCCCAGTGCACAAAGCAGCTCCATTCTGACCTCACGAATGCTGTTCTGGATGAATGAGCAAACAATTCCCACAGACACACTCCAACATCTTGTAGAAAGCTTCTCAGAAGAGTGGAAGCTGTTATAGCTGTAAGGGGGGGAACAACTCCATATTAATAGGTGTTCCAAAGTTTTTGGCTTTTGTAATATTTGCACATTTTTATTAAAAAACACACCATGGCAACTACTGCAATTTACTGCAGCATTCGTCAGATTGTTCAAACTAAGAATTTAATTTAACAAAAACTGTACATATAACATTATTGGATCTTGAAATAATTAATTTGCTTTAATTTGCATAAATCATGCTGTCCTTTCAAGCCTTTATCAAGATTCTCACAACAAAATGTTTATGAATACCATCTCACCTGAATCACACTTAATTTGAAAGCTCATGCCTTCATCACCTCACATTTAGATTACTTTAAATCTCTTTTCATTATCATTTCTGCTAAAACACAACACAGTATTAAGTTAAACAAGGCAGAAGTTGATGTAAAGTGCTTTTTGAAGTTTGGGTTGATAAAAAAATATTGTTTTTGTTAATATGCTGTATTTGCTCTGTCTTTACAGACTCGCTATCTGTAATCTCACCAGAAAAACCTGTAAAAATCTAGCAGAAGCTCTACAATCAGTAAACTCCTCCCTGAAAGATCTGGACCTGAGTAACAATGACCTTCAGGATTCAGGAGTTGAGCTGCTCACTGCTGGACTGAAGAATTCACACTGTACATTGGATATACTCAGGTGAGAATTCTGTAAAGTAAATCTAAAATAGAAATTAGATTAGATTAGATTAGATTAGATAATCCTTTATTAATCCCACAACAGGGAAATTTGCAGTGTTACAGCAGCACAGAAGACAGAGCAGCAGGAAATATACAAACAATATATAAAATAGAATAAACAATAAAAGTATAAAGATATATATGTATATGTACAGAGATTACAAGAAAAATATACAAAGTATTAAATTTAAATTTAGAAATGTAGAAATGTATGTATTGTAGTGAGTATTGCACAATGAATAAAATAGCAAATAAATAAACAGTAAATAAATGGAGAAATACTGCACTTGACATAATTGCACATAACGCTGGTAAACATGTTGACAATGATCCGCAGTGAATATACTACGCATGGTGGATTGAGATATTGCACACAGTAAAGTGCTATGGCAGTGATGTTGAGAGTTCTTGCACATGGAAAGTAATTGTAAACTACTGTCTACTGAGTGCCGTGACTGTTATAGAGTCTGACAGCGGCTGGGAGGAAGGACCTGCGGTATCTCTCCTTCACGCACCGCGGGCGCCGCAGCTGGGCACTGAAGGAGCTGCTCAGTGCTGTCAGAGAGCAGTGCATGGGGTGGGACAGGTTCTTCAGCATGTTTGTTAGCTTAGTCCTCATTCTCCTGTCCCCCACCACCTCCACTGGGTCAAGAGGACATCCCAGGACAGAGCTGGACTTCCTGATGATCTTATTCAGTCTCTTCCTGTCAGCAATGGAGATGCTGCTGCCCCAGCACACCACTCCATAAAAAATGGCTGATGCCACCACAGCGTCGAAGAAGGTCCTGAGAAGTGCCCCCTGCACGCCAAAGGACCTGAGTCTCCTCAGGAGATGTAGCCTGCTCTGGCCTTTCCTGTAGAGGGCAGCTGTGTTGTCAGTCCAGTCCAGCTTGTTGTTGAGGTGAACACCCAGGTACTTATAGGACTTCACATTCTCAATGTCCATTCCCTGGATGTTCACAGGCACCGGAGGAGAATGTTTAGACTTGCAGAAGTCCACCACCAGCTCCTTGGTTTTTCCTGCGTTGATCTGCAGGCAGTTCCTCTGGCACCATTCCACAAAGTCCTGCGTCAGTTCTCTGTACTCCCTGTCATCTCCATCTGTGATGAGGCCGACGATAGCAGAGTCGTCAGAGAACTTTTGCAGGTGACAACTGGCAGAGCTGTACTTGAAGTCTGCAGTGTAGAGGGTGAAGAGAAAGGGAGCGAGAACAGTTCCCTGTGGAGCCCCCGTGCTGCAGACCACCGTGTCTGACTGACAGCCCTGGGTCCTCACATATTGCCGTCGGTTAGTGAGGTAGTCCAGGATCCAGGTGGTGAGGTGATGGTCCAGGCCCGTGCACTCCAGCTTGTCCTTCAGCAGTGTGGGTTTGATGGTATTGAAAGCACTGGAGAAATCAAAAAACATGATTCTCACAGTGCTCCCAGCATTCTCCAGGTGACAGAGAGAGCTGTGTAGGAGGTGGATGATGGCATCCTCCACTCCAATGCGAGATTGGTAGGCAAACTGCAGTGGGTCCATTGAAGAGCTCACCAGGGGGCGCAGGTGGACAAGAAGCAGTCTCTCCAGGGTCTTCATCAGGTGAGATGTCAGCGCCACCGGCCTATAGCTGTTGAGGTCTTTGGGGTGTGGGGTCTTTGGCACTGGCACCACGCAGGATGTTTTCCACAGCTGTCGGACTTTCCCTAACCTCAAGCTGAGGTTAAAGATGTACCTGACCACGTCACACAGCTCGTTCGCACAGGTCTTGAGAAGCCTTGAGCTGATGGCATCTGGACCTGCAGCCTTCCTGATCTTCATCCTCCTGAGCTCACTTCTCACCTGGGATGTTGTGAATGTTAGGCTGGAGTAAGGGAGAACAGTGCTGGGATGTATGTCAGCAGGAGAGCCGTCTGATGGTGGCTGTGTGTTGAAATGAAGGGGGGTGGGTGCAGGAGAGGGGGGAGGGCCAAATGCTGGTAGTACCAGACAGGGAGAATTCAGCAGTGATGTGCCTGTGGTGGGGGGAGCAGGCGAGTGATCAAACCTATTAAAGAATAGATTGAGTTCATTCACCCACTTGTGGTCCCCCTCAGCCCGGGAGTCGGGCTTCTTGTGTCCAGAAATAGTTTTGAGGCTATTCCAGACTCCACTGACATTATTCTGCTGCAGCTGGGCCTCCATCTTTCTCCTGTAGCTGGCTTTCCCCTCCCGGATCTTCCTTCTCAGCTTCCTCTGCACAGATCTCATCTCCTCCTTCTCTTCTTCTCCTTCAGGAGGGCCTTTATATCAGGATTAATCCAGGGTTTGTTGTTGGAGAAACACCGAATGGTCTTGGTGGGTACGGTATTCTCCACACAGAAGTTGACATAGTCCGTTATGAAGTGTGTGAGGCCATCAATATCTTCCGCATAAGGATCACACATCTCCTCCCACAGTGTTGTGCTGAAACAGTCTTTCAAAGCCTCTTCAGACTCTGCAGTCCATTTCTTCACTGTGCGGGTGATGGTTGGTTCTCTGTGTACAAGTGGTTTGTACACAGGCAGGAGATGAACTAGGTTGTGATCTGATCTTCCCAGGGGAGGGAGGGGTAGGGAGTTATATGCCTCCTTTGTATTGGCATAAAACAAGTCCAGTATTTTATTGTCTCTGGTGTGGCAGGTGACATACTGGGTGAAGGTAGACAGTGTTGCGGATGGAGAAGAATGGTTAAAGTCCCCAGAGATCAGGAGGAGGGCCTGTGGGTGCTGGGTCAGAATCCTGCTCACAGCTGAGTGCAGGACGTCACAGGCAGCGTCAGCGTTAGCAGACGGAGGAACGTACGCAGCTATCGCGATAGCATGCGAGAATTCCCGTGGCAGATAGTAAGGTCTCATGCTAACGGCTAACAGTTCAATGTCCTTACAGCAGATTTGCTCTTTAATAGAGATGTGTCCAGAATTACACCATCTATCATTCACAAATACTGCCAGTCCTCCTCCTTTCCTCTTACTGCTCTCCGCTGTCCTGTCCGCCCATACGAGGTGAAAGCCATCCAGAGAGACGAGTGTATCCGGAGTTAGCGTAGTTAGCCAGGTCTCTGTAAACAGCATGACGCTACACTCACGGAATTCCCTCTCATGCCGGGTCAGCGCCGCTAACTCATCCATCTTATTTGGAAGAGATCTCACGTTCCCCATGATGACAGAGGGAAGGACTGGTTTGTAGCGTCTTCTCCTCGCACGGCGCTGAGCCCCTGCGCGAGTCCCCCGTCGCTTCCTCCTCAGCTCGCGGGGGATCTGGGGTCGCTCCCCCGGGAGTGCCGCTGTGCCCCTCAGCGCTATCAGCTGATCCCTGGTGTAAACAAAGAGATCCCGCCGGGAGCACGCTGGATCCGCTCTCGCGTGTGAAATGCACGAGAAAAAAAAAATGAAAAGAAGCGCAAACTTCACAAGTTTAATGTCCATGGTGTACAGACAGTGTGAAAAGTACTCAGGTTTAGAAAGTACTATAAAAGAAAGGAAAAATGAGAGGAAAAAAAGCTCACAGTGAGTAAGAGCTGCTGTAACAGGCTGCCCCTCGCGCAGCGCCGGAAGTATTCGTAAGTAAAAATAATCTTATACCATGTCAGGTGGCATGGTGGCAGGTAAAAAATTTATGGCAAAGGTAAGTTGCAGATGCTGGTTGCTTTCCTGATACAGTGTGAGTTCTAAATGATCTCCAAGGATAGTAGCTGGACCCTGATGATTTTCTGGGCACTAGTGATGATCTGCTGCAATACTTTCCTGTCAGCAGGTACCACACCATAATGCAATATACTAGGGTGCTTTTAGTTTTACAGAGACAGAAGATCACTAGTAACTGTTGGGACATCACAGCTTTATTAAGTGTCCTTTGGACATACAATCTCAGCTGTGTTTTCTTTACCAGCTCAGTGTTGATATTCCATGTTAGGTTACATGAAATGTGGACAACCATTGTTCTATTTTGGTTCAATGGCTGTGATTTTTAATCATCCTTCTGGCATTAAAGCTTTTAACTAAAGCCTTATCTGTGAGCATCTGGTTCAGTTTGTCACCATTACAGGATACTTTGCCCTCATGTAGACGGCGGACACAGAGGTGGTTCAGAAGGTCCTGAGCAACCATCATCAGCAAGTGTTGGCGGTTGTTACTCAGTCGGTTGGTGACCTTTTTTTTCACCTTCTGTTTTAGATCACCTTCATGAAGGTCAATCATATGGAGAACTTTTGTGCAAGCTCAAGCAAGGCAATTGCTCGGTGTGTACATATGCTCTGGAATTCCACACTCTAGCTGTTGGTTGTGGCTGGAATGAACCTGCTATCTTAGTAGCATTTTATAATGGACTCAATCCAGATGTATTTACTGAACTGGCATGCAAAGATGATGTTTTGACATTCGATCAACTTATTAAGCTTGCTGTCAGGCTAGATCAACTGCACTAGAAACACCCTTTGCAGAAAAGTTCCCCTCACTCTCACATGATGTCAAGTTCCAGTCCCAGCTCCAGTTACTGTACCAACTCTAGTTCCAGCTCTGCTCCTGAATCCATGTAGTGTGATTCATCAAGGCTGTCCAGAGAGGAGAGGCATCAACAACTTTATGGAGGTTTGTGCATGTATTGTGGTGTGGAGATGTGTTCCCTGGAGTGAAAAGTTTTCGTGTGGAAGACTTCACTGGCCTGCACAGAGTCCTGACCTTAACCTGATACAACACCTTTGGGATGAATTAGAGCAAAGACTGCAGGCCAGGCCTTCTCATCCAACGTCAGTGTCTGACCTCACAAATGCGCTTCTGGAAGAATGGTCAAAAATTCCCATAAACACACTCCTAACCCTTGTGGAAAGCCTTTCCAGAAGAGTTGAAGCTGTTATAGCTGCAATGGGTGGGCCGACATCATATTAAACCCTATGGACTAAGAATGGGAAGCCACTCAAGTTCATATGTGTGTGAAGGCAGATGAGTGAATACTTTTGGCAATATAGTGTATATCCTGGTACTCAGAAACAGAATAATAGTTTTATCATGTTGTAAATAGCAGTGTAAAGATATTGCGTCAGTTTGTGTTTTTGTCCTGTCATGTTGTAACAGTGGCAAATGGAACCAGACACTAGCAGCAGAGGCTTGAGTTAAGATCTTTAATGATCTTTTGGGTTGTCCAAAATCACAGTTGATAAACTGAAGCAGAAAAATCAAAAACCAGAAGCCAAAACAAAACTAAAGGGTACAGACAGAATCAAAGTCATAAATAGAAAACTGGTCATACATGGGAAATCAGTCAGGAACAGAGAAATGCTCTGTATGCACAGTGTGACGATATTTCACAAGAAATCTGAGCTAAAGCCTGGGCTTATATACTAAACCAACAGACAAGTGAAACAAGGAACAGGTGTGAATGATCAGTAGTCTGGAGAAGCTGAGTGATGATTGGTTAGAGTCTTGAGTCACATGATGGAGTAAGGAGTTCTGGGAACTGTAGTCGGAGGCGGCTATGTTGGCTGTGGGCTCAGCCGGGCCAGAGAGAGGCTTGACATGTTTTATATCAGTGTTAATGTATATTTACAGAGTTTGATTTTTGCTGCGTTAGATCGGTACTGCAACTGATTTTTGTTTTGTGTAAATGAAATCTGTTCCTCTTTTTCCTTCTTTTCTGCAGATTGTCTGGTTGTATGATTACAGATGTCGGTTGTTCTTCTCTGGCTTCTGCTCTGAAATTAAACCCCTCCCACCTGAGAGAACTGGATCTGACCTATAATCATCCAGGCAAGTCTGGATTGAAGCTGCTGTCTGATCTACTACAGGATCCGTACTGCACACTAGAGAAACTAAAGTGAGTTGCCGACTTACTGTTCTTATACACAAACAATTCACATAATATACAAATTACTGACTATAATGTTTTGCTGTAGACGTCTTGGTCTTCATGGTGAGGTGGCGATGTTGTTATTCTCAACATGACTCTAACTAGCTTGATTGCACTAGTCAACTGACTGGTAGCTTTGGAAGGGTTTTATGAGATTCAATGTGGAAACATGGGCCAGATTACTCAATCAGCAGTGACTGGCTTTCAGCTGACCTCAGAACATCTGTGACTTTGCTCATAGGTGCATACTTTGTTTATGTCTGATGACTAGTATTTGCATCAACCAAATCTTCATTCTTACTGCATTCGCTCCATTGACAAGGGGCCATGAGCCCATTGCACGCACTCATTAATTGGGGCCACGAGCCCATTGCAAATTTATAAATTACATATTGCCAGGTTAATCATCTTAGTATGGACTTGATTGTATGCCATGAAGAACTTAATTTGTTGACCCTCTTTGGTCAGTGAATGCTCCCAAGTGTCAAATTTTGTGGATGTTTTTGATGTTTCTATAAATGTTTTTCTATCTTTCCAGTGCATAGAAATATGGATCAAACATAACCTGAATCCACTGTAAAACAAAATGACCAACTTATTTTTTTCTTCTAAACCTTTTAATGTTAATTACTAATACACATTTAGTAACACTATTTCTTATATAATTCTCAGTTACTTAGACGAATCTAGGTAAAATCTAACCCTAACCCAGTCCTATGGACTGATTAGTCTTTCAACCCAAAATGCTTCCCAACATTTATAGTGGTTTTGTTGGGTTCTCTTTAATAACTCTTATTTTTCATTTCTAAAGATGATTCTCTTTGCAAAATTATATTTTAGTGTCACAAGAAATGTGAATTCATAATATATTGATAAATTAATATACAGCTATACTCTGCTAACATGACTCAAAGATTAGGACTATTGACTTGGGAATTAAGACTCACCTTCACTGACTCAGGATTTGAATTGAGAATCTACTGTCTTGACCTAGGGCTTGACTTGGGACTTAAGTGTGAAGACTTGAGAGTTACTTGTTACTTGCAACAATATCTAGCCAGAATGGATAGAAAAGCAAACTCCTTTACCTTCAGAAGAAATAGAAGGACCGATGTGCTGACTAGTAGCCCCTTTAAAAATTAAAACAATGAAATGTTAAAAGCTAAAACAAAATCATTCTTTTGGCATTTTTATGCCAGGGGTATTGCTGACTTTGTCTGAGTTTAGTAACGTTTTTGGTGAGATTTATATTAGTCGTGGGAGCTGACTGGAGATGGAGGGAGACAAGTGTTCTCCTCTTCGTCACTATCCATGTTTAGCAATGTAAATTGCAATACCTTTCAGTTTAGTCGTAAGAATAATACAGGTGCATCTAAAATAAGAAACAATAAAACAAATCACACAGAATTATTGAAATGTCAGCTTACTTTCTTTTTTGTTTTGTACATCCATTCTCTGGTATCTAGACTTTCTATATCAACTTTTTCACTTCTTTTGACTCACAAGTAATATTCATGAGCTTTTTTATAGCTTTCTGTGTGAAAAATGTGAATATAAAACAATAATTCAGACATGAATCATTCCACTTGCAGAATATGGGTTTCCATTCATATTACCTTAACATTTGCTTTTATGTCTTCTATACAACAAAATTTCCATATAAAGTAGCAATTATCATAAACAATTCATAACATTATCAATTCAAATCAAAATAACTATGGAAACATATGTTTTTATAAGTTCAAACTGTCAGCATTAGACAACTGTACACTGAATTTCTGAACTGTTTAAATGCATTAACATGATGTAGTACTGGGCCACCCCTGTGCTCCATCTTAAGATTAGGGGTAAAACAGGGTGCACTCTGTTTGGCGCATCACTTGCTCTAAAGCCTTGTCAGTTTTACAGACCATATTTTAAGCTGTCCAAGAAAATTCTTGAAAGAGAGGCAGGATACTCCATATATATTTGTTTCTTCACTAAGGTGTACCAACCCCTGCATGTTATAACCAATGTATTTCCTTCCAAAATTTTACTGCAGTAGTCCACAAATAATAACAGCAGACTGGGGCCCCAGTCAGCATGACCTTAAACCAAACCTACACTGAGAAAGATGGTTATGGCTACAGACAACAACATGGAATTGTCAAAAATGGGTGCTGTTATTCTGCCTTTTAGGCTTGCTGGCCCAATATACAACAGGAACAAATTTAGCTCATTAGCTTTCCTCTTCTCAAAATCATCGACAGCTCTGGGTTTATGATTAAACTCAGAAGGATCATGTGTCCAATAATTCAACAGCTGTGCAGACACTTCTTTTCTGACAGCTGGGACTTATCGAGTGTCCAAGGGTTCCTTCACCCAGAAATACAGAGGTTTGTGCGTTACTCCTTAGCACTCCAGGTTTTTTGGTTTTTGATGACCAAAATAGATGCCTGTTACAAATGGATCCTTGTTTCATTGTTTTCTGGTTTTACACTGCTCAATGAGTCCTGAAATTGCCGAGAACTGAGCACTTGACTGAGCATCTAGATTTATTTGTAATGATACAGCAGTGGGCAAGTCAAACTCCTTTTCCTTCACATATGTTAAAATGCCATGTTTTAGGCTTAAGTGAAAATAAATGAGACATTTCTGGCTTCAAAATTTGTTTTTGTTTTAAGAAATGTTCTTGAATCTTTTGGTAATTCTGGGATGTTTGGGGAATTAATCTTCAATAAATCTGAAAACACTGCATGAGCAATTTGTCTTCTGACTGGCCAGTCAATTAGCTGAACCTGTAAATCTTCTGCTTCTTCTGAGCTTTCAATAGAGAAAGCTTTATGGGTTTCTCTTCATCACTTTCTTCATAACTCTCTCATGCATCAAATATATCCTTCTGGTATTCTCTTCCTCTCTTCCTGAAGATGATGATCCTAGTTTCTGTAAATCTTGAGCTATACCACGGTGAATTCCTCTGTGTTTGCTCCAGTGACTGGAGATGTTCTTGTTGTTTTGTTATTTAGATAGATAGATAGATACTTTATTGATCCCAAAAGAAATTTAGCAGCCAGTAGCAGTCACACAACACAGGACAGGAATAAGAATGTAAACAATATAACAGGAAGAATAAATATAAAAAGATCCTATCTACAGGCATATATAAAAATCGAAAAGTACGAGTACTGAGATGAAAAGACGCAGTGCAATAATGACTGTACAAGGAGGCACAGGTAACGGCATACAATGACAATGCTGAATAAATATGCACATATATTGGTACCAAAATAAAGTGTCTACTGAGGAGTGTCCAGATGTGCAACATGTGCAGTAAGGTGTCCATATGTGCAGACGGATAAAAAGAAGAAGATACTCATAGACTGTACCCCATAATGAACTAGAGTAATTTACTTTAAAGTTTTACCTTGTACCGAGAATTCTACTGAATATTTAAGTTAGAGTTCACCTGAGAAAGAAAATACATTTCATACAAGTCTTGTAATACAATAAGAATTACACATTAACATCGGAGATTCTGCTTTGTTTTTCTAGCAAAAGGGTAGCTGTAAGCATGTAAGAAACGTAACCACAAGAATGTTCACAAACACTTAAAATAAGAGCAACATCTATACAAAAACAATTCATATATATGAATCAATATAATTAATTGCCATTCAGATTACATCTGTAAATCATTATTAGGTAAATGAACCCAACCCAGGTCCCAGTGAATTACATTGGTGTAAAGCAGGCTTCTTTAATACAATAATATCATAGATAATACATACTTATCTATGACACTTGCTAATGATAATGGTAATGCTAACATGACAATAGGAAACTACAAAGCTAGCATAATTATTGTTATTGGTTTTTTGTGTTTGGATAAGGTAATTTAATAGGAGCCCCCCTTGAGCAGCTATATGTATTTTCACTAATGTTAACTAAATTAATTCCAGACACAAGCTGTCTGTTTATCTATTTTACCCCAACTATTCTGTTCTCTGAAGGTCCACCTTAAAATACAACAATCAATCCTGCTAGAAACAAAGGCGTGGATGAGTTTCTCCAGGTCTGCTTTAGTCAGAAAATCTCTTATCCTGTTGATGTTTTTAAAATGATAAAAAGCTGATTTAGTAACTGCTTTGACACAACTGATAAAACTGAGATCAGAATCGATTAGTACACCAAGGTTACGTATTAGTACTTTAGATATCAGGGCTCTTGAATCCAGATGTGCAGCTAGTCTTTGCCTCTCATTGCTATTTCTAAATAAAATAATCTGTTTTATCTTTATTGAACTGCAGAAAGTTTTGTCCCATCCAGTTAGTGATGTGCTCAAGGCACTTACATTGTGAGTCAAGGGGACCATAGATGCTGTTATAGTCATTATAAAAGTTATTATTGAATGTTTGAACTATTTTACATGCCTTTTATTTTTTTTTAAAAAAAAGACTATATAAATAGTGCTAACTAACCTAGCAGTATGGTTTAGAGCTAACTTGCTCAGCAAAGTGATTTAGAGCCAAATAGCATATCGAGCTAACTAACCTAGAAGTGTGATTTTATGTTTTAACTGGACTGTAATGTCTGAAGGGCGCTTTAAAAAAAGTACAAAATGATCTGTTTTATTCTTTATTTTATTTTAGTTTTGATTTGATATGAAGTTTAATGAATGTATAAATGTGTGTGTTTGTTCTTCAGGGTGGATCATGCAGGGAAGATCAGGATGAAACCAGGACTGAAAAAATGTAACTATATACACACAAAAACTGTACACATGCACACACATAATACATCATACAACCACTCAATATATATACACTTTTTAGAGTTCTCTCTGTCACCTCTAATCTGTTTGTGTGTGTGTACAGATGTATGTGATCTCACTCTGGATCCGAACACAGTGCACAGTCTTCTTTCTCTGTCTGAGAGGAACAGAAAGGTGGAGCGTGTGGAGGAAGATCAGTGTTATCCAGATCATCCAGACAGATTTAAACACTGTGTTCAGGTTCTGAGTGTGGAGAGTCTGACTGGACGCTGTTACTGGGAGGTTCAGTGGAGCAGAAGAGCTGTTATATCAGTATCATACAGAGGAATCAAGAGGAAAGGAGGCAGTGAGGACTGTGGTTTTGGAATCAATCATCTGTCCTGGAGTCTGAACTGCTACCATGACTCTCGTATTAATTACATTTACTCTGTCTGGCATAATAATCAGAAAACTGACCTACCTGCACCCCCCTCTCCCTCCAACAGACTAGGAGTGTATCTGGACTGGGGGTCTGGCACTCTGTCCTTCTACACCATCTCCACTGACACACACACACTGACCCACCTACACACATTCACCACCACATTCACTGAGCCGCTCTACGCTGGATTTGGTGTTTATTCTTACTCCTCAGTGAGTCTGTGTGAGATAGAATAACCTCAACAGAGAGAGAGAGAAATAGAGCATGTTGTTAAAAATGTGTTGTTTTGTCAGTTTGATTTTTTCTCTTCAATGTGAGTTCAAAAAAAAATTCGCTAAACAGGACAGAAATACATGTGTTTATATATGAGATACATTTCAGATTCACTGTTACAGAAACACATTTATGATGGTGGTAAAAAGCTACACATCCGTAGCTTTTTACCACCATCAGCTGAAATCCAAAACAAAGTGCTCTCAGCCCCACATGATGCAGGAAACTCTGACAGTATAACTATGGTGGGCACTGTCCTATTCATACACACGCACACGACACACACAGAAACACACACGCACTATCACACATACAAACCCCCTTACATACACACACACAAACAAACAAACACACAAACTCACACATTTACATATACACCCACACTCACAAACAAATACATATATAAATCATGTACATGTTTTTACTGTACTGATGTTTTTAGAGATATAGGTATAAAATTACTGTCACACAGCCTCCGAAACCCCTTTTAGATTCGGACTCAATCTCCCAGAATCCTCTGGGAGATCACATGACTTCCGATCTTCCCATAGGCGATAAGACTAAAACGGAGTCAATATCCCAGGATCCTATGGGAAGTCACATGACATCTCACGTGACACCGCACTCCTATCAGCGCTCTAGCTCTCCAGAGTATTGATGTGATTCACCTGTGTTATGTGTCATATGATATATACTTAGTATAGTATGTAAGCCCGAGCTTTAGCTTAGTAAAGTTGCGAAGTATTGTATCCAGTTTGCAATCTACTGAGCGTTTATTCATTGTTGTGTACTTCGTGTATGACCTTTGCTTATCGTTTTCTCGTCTCTGCCCTTTTTGCTCTGCCCTTTGGATTTGGTTGCATTGTCTCTGATTTTGGATTATGACCACTTGCCTGTACCTTCGACCACGCTACTGCTTTTCCCTTTTTGGATTGTTGCCTTGGCTGATCTTTGTATCTTTCGTGTGCCTTCTGGATCTGAACTCTGCCTGGTTATTGACTACGACTTTGAACTCTGTTTCTACCACTAAAGCCCTTTTTGTAAGTTACATCTGCGAGCATCTGACCGTGTTTGAAATCTTACAATTACACTCAGTGCTGAGATAAATGGTTTTAAAAACTGTGTTTAGGGGGCTTAAACTTTTACACAATACTGTTTATGCCCTGAATAAATTTCTGTAGGGTTCCAAAAATGAATAAAATTCAGGTATTTTAGTGTAGTAGCCCCTGCGTCAGTGTTGGGGTTCTTACTCTAAAACAAAGCCGACAACAGAGCTAAAGAAAACCAGCCCAAAGAGCTTCACAGAGAAACCCTCAGGACAGAACCTGTTATCTGTATTTAGCTGAGTCTGTTTCTGAGGCACTCTACATTGTACAACGATATAGGTCTTTTCAATAAAGCTTTTACAGATAAAATTGTTATTTTACAGAATTTTCTTAAATTATTATAAATAAACACCTTCATTAAAGTAACAGCACTAAAAGTTCTGCAGATAAACATGGTTATTTTACAGATTTCTGGCTGCATTTGTCTTTTCCCAAAGACTCTCTGACTGGACAGAGACAGAATATTTCATGTCTAAATTCCTTTGTTTTACTTAATTCTTTATTTCTTAATTTACTTAATACTTATTTCTCGACACAAGTGTGAAAATCTGCCCCACCAAATAAAGCACTTTAGAAGCAGTTCAGACATGAAGGACCAGAAGACACAACTTGATCATTCAAATTATGCAGATAAAATATTAAATGATTTCATTCTAATGATGGAAGACAAGGAATCCAGATTTTACTACTGATGTCATTAGTCGATGGTCAATAGTTTACAAAAAGTGTTGTTAAGAAAAGTTTACTAAAAAACACATCCGTAGCTTTTTACCACCATCATCTCAAATCTGAAACAAAGTGCTGTCAGCTCCACATGACACAGGAAACTCAGACAGTATAACCATGGTGGGCACTGTCCTACCTCAGTCATGTTGGAGGGGTTTACTATCTTAATACTAACATTCCACCCTGAGTGTAGTCAAAACTTTACAGTGCAAAACCAACTCCTTTAAAATCCTGTTTCACATATCAGCATGAAGACAAATAAAATCTCAAAAACCAATGAACTTGAAGACTCAATGCACCACATACAAACATTTTAATCTTGAATTTTTCTGTTTAGCTTGTGTCCATTCAAACTCATCAAGATCTTCTGGACAAACACAAATGTGCATTTTAAGTTGTCAGAAAGCTGAGATCAAGTGAGGAAATGAGCCCAAAATCCACAATGAAGGTACTTCCAAGACTGTTGAGCACCTTAATATTCTTTATCACAATGCCAGCGTCCACTGGGTGAGCATCACCCTCATCATCATCTCTTCAAATTGTGTATATCAGTATGACTGTGCACTGACATATCCTTCTTCTCATCACCAATGACAGACCTGAACATAAACACAAATACATAATCACTGACCGGTCAGAGACGAAGACAAGCAGAAGTCTGTCTTTTCAAGGGTTGTGAAAAACACAACTGTAGCTCAGCTCTTCACCACCATCAGCCACTAAACAACATGCTGTGTAATTTTCACTGGTATCTTATCATTGAGATAATCTTGAATGCCTATTTTGCATAAAATCTTGACACATACTGCACATGTAAATTGTAATAAACATACCAAATATTCCTTGAAAAATGATTCTGGTCTTCTATCAAATAGATGACCAGGCTTTGTAGGATTCAGTCCCTCCTGATGTCAATGTCATTAAATTACAACAAGGAAAAATCAGAAATTAACTAAATTATATGGCAACTTGTTACACATTATTGCTGCTGTACATATTTTATGTGTAAGAAACTAAGAACTGATTCCCTCATAGTTAAATAAGCAACTATGTCCTCTGTCTATTCCCTTAGTTGCTTGATATTGTGTTTATAACAAGCTGATTGTTGTATTTATGAAGGAGCTGTTTTTTAGTAGAATCAATATAGTTTTGGTTTTATGGCTAATTAGGAATAGTAGTGAAGGCTGCATGTGTAGTCTCATAGCTCACCTGGTAGAGTGAGGTATGAGCAGATCAACAGTAGTGAGGTTGGTTCCTGTGTAGGCGACTGTCTGAAGTTTACAAAGGTCAGAATATACATTTTGGTAAAGGCATTTTATGCTGCCTCATTTGTCAATGTGAACAATATACTGCATATATACCTGATATATATTTGTAAACTCACAGTGTATTTAGTGCTGTTCTTCCTACAAAAAGCTGAAAGTCCATTGACCGGCATCACTGTTGAGAAATGCACCCAGTTTAAGAATCTGCTTCTGAGGAATCCAGCACTAGCCACATATTTCAACTAGCTGTTAGCTACCTAGTGCTTTTCGGTTCAGGACACATATTAACAGGTTACAGTTTCACACTGCGCTCAACAAAAACAGACTGAACAGATGAGAACTAAATAAAAAAACTAATTAAACTTTTGTTTATATCAGAAAATGCACAGAGACCATACATTAAGCTTACTGAGGACGATGAAAATTATGTTCGGTACATGATTCATGTAGCAGTCAGGTGGAGACATGAGCTGTTATGAGCATCAAACACTGACCTCACCATGATTTTTTATTTAATAAAGACCAGCAGCTTTTTTGCTCATGCATGTTGAATGTTCAGCCAAGTCACATGTTACTGAGGTCATAGCAGCCACTGCTGTCCAGCCAACTTCACTTTTAGACTAGGCTACATAAACTAAAGATATGAACACAAAACAACATTACGTTAGGCTGTCATAGAAAATAACAGGGAGAATGTTTTCTTACCTGATATTGCCAAACATATCTGTCTGACCTTCTTCTCTGTCCATATTCAGTTTTTTGTTCTCTGTTGAATCACATGACTCAAATTCACTCAAAATAAGAATCTGACAGGCAGATGTAAAATAATCCAGGTAACAGCCATTGCTAGTGGACTGACCAAGTAGCAGCAGCAGCAGAACACCCACTCTAACAGACACATTTTCAAATTTGACTGTGAAAGGCGCTCAGCTGTCATTGGCTATTATCCTAATTGACAGTGTGTGCTGTATATGGTTCTATATAGAACCTTTTTAAAAAGAGTATGTAACAATAGAACAAGCCTTTTGGGTGCTGTATAGAACCTTTTTCAAAAATATAGAACCATCTACAGCACATTCTCCATTAATCTGAAGAATGATGCAAAGAACCCTTTCATCATGCAAAGGGTTCTTTGAGTGCTCATTACAAAAGAACCCTTGAAGAACCATCTTTTTTAACAGTGCATGACAGACATAATGGTATACACAGAGTACTATAACAGTGCACTACACATGAAAAGAATTTTAAAAGTACTATTGAACTTATTTTTAAACATTTTATATTTGAAGATCATTTTTTAAAATGCTTGGGAACATTGGATCCATTGGATTAAAATAAAAACTAGATCAGCACTACAACTAGCTCAGCCAATTAAAAACAACTGCTAGTTTGAATGGAATTTAGACGATAATAGAAACCAAAATGACTGAGCTGAACAAAGTTTACAGAAAAGACAACAAATGACGTGAATTATGAGGCTAAAGTTTACTTTTCACCAGCAGCTTCTTAGACAAATTTTCCATTCCACCTTAAATGGTGCAGAAGCTACATTCCTGGGCCTAACAGCAGCACCAAGGGGGAATGACAAATTCCAATGTGAAGCTGGCAAAAAACTTCAGCCACGTGGTGAACGTTGTGCCTGTTTTACCTGCAGAAGCTGTTAAAATCAGACAGTTTTTTTTCACTACCATGAGAAAAATGGTCAGTTCGCTTGGTGAGTTTCTCTAGCAAGACTAGAGTTTAGGTGCTGCGTGCGGGTGCATTGATGCTGTTGATGCTTTACTTCTTTCCAGCTTATGGAGGTGAACTTGAACTCTAAATGCTTCACTTGTCTTCCAAAATAAAATACTCCAAGCATAAGCACAGAAACAGACAT